GCTCTGGCCTTCAACACCAACACCTCCCGTCTGGAGATCACAGTCGGCACCTGCAGAAACCTGTCCTACGGAGACAGCAAGAAGAGGAAGTGTCACCCGTAAGGACACGTTTGATGTCACTCTGTGCAACACAAAGAGGCAGAGCGCATTTCCTGTGATTTTCCATCAAAGCTTCAACAGCATTTTTTTATTTTCTATTCTGCTGCACAGATACGTGAAAATCTACGTGCTGCCGGACAAGAGCTGCAAACTGAAGACGTCAGTGAAGAAGAACACGACTGATCCGGTTTACAATGAAGTTTTGAAGGTAAAAACAAAGAACCTCTTCAGCTATTTTTGGATGTCTCTATGTGTCATCAGTTTAATAAAACTTGCAGCATGCACATATGCATGCTCATGACTTATAGAAACAAAATTATTGATTTCATGGGCAGTAAATTCTTCCTTTGAAAGTTTTTTATCTGGTGCATCAAAAATATGATCTAATCTGAGATGCCATCATAGTCTGTATATAAAAGATGGATATAGCCACTGTGACGTCGCTCAGTAATTGATGTAAAGTCCTGCTGTGAAGACTTGAGCTGAGCCTTTTCACTACAGTCATCTGGGTGTTTTAAAGCCAGAAATAAAGAGCAAGAACTTAAAACTGGGGGACACTCCATGGTACCCCGGCTAACTCCCTTTCTGACTCTGATTCAATTTTACAAAAATAATATCATCCGCTGCTCTATAACACTCAAAACTAGGCCCTGAGACCATAAACTCATGTGCTTAATCATTGTTTAAAGAAAACATTTTAATAAATGTTGTGAACGTAAACAGCATTCACTAAAATTTAAATGTTTTTCACAGTATGGCATACAGCGCAACATGCTCATTGGAAAGAGGCTACAGGCGACTGTGTGGCATTCAGGTACCCTGAAAAGGAAAGTTTTTCTTGGTGAAGTCCTCATCCCTCTGGACGGCTGGAGATTTGAAGACAAGGCATTCCAGTGCTTTAACTGGTATCCACTGTGTCCGAAGGTAAAATGGAGCACGGCAGAAAAGATTTGTTTATTATTGCTGAAGACTTTTGCCCGTATGGCTGATATGGAAGTGGTTTTCTATAAAATCTCCTTCCTGTGTCCTTCAGCCTGAAAGACAAAACGGAGGTGATCAGGAGTGATGAGAACCACTGGCCGGAGTCATGGTGAGTTTGTAGCTTGCTTAAATGTCTGTCTAGCGCTTTGTTTTCGTCAGGCTTGTGTAGTTCATGTGTTTTTTAGTTCATACGTAGTAGGTGGTGTAGTACAAGTGGGACAGTGATTCTGAACGCTGTAATTTACAAGGTGTATGTACGTGAGTTTGAGGTCACATAGTCGAGCACAAGGGTAAACCTATCAGATCAGCTGATCTGTGTCACCTGATACCTTTTTATTCATTTAAATTGGCAAATTAAATCATATAGGGCAATATTAAAGCTGCTTTGGCCTGCAACCCACTTACACTCACACCTACACTCATCTTTGCCAGTTTCCCCAGAACAAATATTTTAATATATGTCAAATATAAATGATTTAATATTGAAATAAAAGTTTTCTTCTGACTAAAGGTTACTTTATTTGCTAGTGATATCATGTTGTTCGAAATCCTCCAGGTGGTTTTCTGGTGTGGTTATCAAGTGGGCTGAGGTGCGAGCTATGAAAACCACTATTTTAAGAGAACGTCATCAACACTTTTCAGAAAAGGCTGGTCAGGGTCTACTAATAAAAATGAAATAAAATAAGTAAAAAAATGTATTTTTTTTATTTAAGTGAGCTGTAATTGTGTTTAATACAATTTTTAAAGGCACATTTCAAGAGCCTTAACCTTTTAGGTGCATTCATTTTGGCACTAGGGGTCAGGAGAGGATCTGTTTTGGATATCTTGTGTTGTCCTTTAAGGCAAACTGGGCCACATAGCAATGATCCACTAACCGTCCTTCACACCTTCCCATTAGTGTAAACATGACTCAGAGTGTAAATACATGTCATTGTGGCCCTGTGTGCCTCCTTGTGTGCGCAGGCCTCAGGTGTGCTATGTGTGTTCTGGTGTGTGACTTTTTGAACGCAAGTGTAATTGTTCAACATTGTTCAACAAGCATGAGGGAGTGTTTACATAACTCGTGTGTTTGTGTATGTACGTGTCTCATTTAGGCGTCTGACTGGGAGCCAGCAGAGAGCTCATCCACAAGACGCCCATTTCTAAAAAAAAGAGGGAGACTGAAGTCCTCCACTGCTGCTCGTCCAGGACGTCACTCTGTGGGATCAAAGCACCTCCTGCCTCTCTGAGGCACCATAATGGGGACTTGAATGGAACAATAACAGCAGAGATCCACTTCTGAACATCCTCTGTGGAAACACTTTAATGCCGCCTGTGAAGCATCTACAATCGTTATGAATGTATACACCACCTCAAGCAAAGCAGTTGTGATTAATTAATATTTTTTTGCATTATAGAACAGACTATAAAAAAATCTATTGCTTTATAGAAACATTATTTATGCTTGTTATATTTATTTAGCTTTCTGTTTCTTTTTTTTTTTATCTGCTAAGCACCTTGAAACTTGAAAAAATCAAGTTACAGTCTATAACCATCGGCTCCAAGTCTGTTTAATAATTACTTTATAATATCCTGTGCTGCAGTTTTAAGCTAAAGAAAGATTGGATAAGCCAGCTTCCTGATGGAGGTTGTACCTAACATACCGACATATTTGTTTATTAACTGCTTGTGGATGCTTCATAGTTGCAGACGGCTAGCACGTACAATTTTATTGCTTTATAAATGTTAAACAGTTAAAGTGATGCCACTTCCGTTCAAGGCCTCTCTGCTGACATTCGTCGATCCGTTCAGACCCATTTTCCCCGTTAATGCGATGTTCTTCTGTCAGAGGAGAGCAGCAACAAAACGTCCATGCAAATAAAATTAGTGGAAGAGACGCTAAGCTAACGTTACTGACAAATGAAATCTGGAGCCACACCCGGCGGTGGAGCGGAAGCGGTTTGAGTTGCTTCAGACACACACGCACAGACACACCACACAGCGGCTCTTCGAGTACAAAGACACGTTTCTTGTCTCTGTGGACGCGGCGTGGGAAAGCAGCAGCAGAAGAAGAGAAGGAATAAGGCGGTTTCTGTGCCGGGAGCAGTGATGTCACTGACCTGGAATTCTGTTGACTCCGCGTTCTCCCGGCTCACCATGGCAACTGGAGGCTCACCAGGTTAAGCGTGACGTCAGCTCGCCTGCGTCAACAGGTGGAGAAATTGACGCCAGCAGCGGCACAGGCCGCTTACAGACTCATTGTATTTATTTATTTATTTATTTATTTATTTTTGTTTACATCCAGCACTTTAAGACGCTCATTTAGCATTCAACTATTTACAGTGTATGTGTAGTATAGCTGTCAGATAATAAGTCGATCAGCTTCCACGTGCATGTCTGTTTTCGTTTTTTGTCATTTTATTTATTTTTCTGTCACACTGAATTGCTTTTGTAAAAATAAAAGTATCTGAATATGAATCAAAACAACGTGAGAGAGTCCTGACATGCTGATATTATAAATATAAAGCTCTACTTTTTGGGAAGCATTTAGCGTGTCTGACTTCATTTTAGAGCTCATCTTGAAAGGAAATTTCTGCATCAAGTTTCATTTTCAATTCATTGAACATCTGGTGAGTTCTTTTATTCAAAAACACAAACATCAATCTCACAACATCCCAAGCCAGAACCAGTCCCAAGTCTATGGACTACCTTTTCATACAGTTTGGCTTTGTAATGCCAAGGCCTGACAAAGCTATTATCATCAGTGCCCAGCAGTCGTTGTTTGGGAGAACATGAAAATTGATACAACCTCCAAAGCAATCCATCCTGTCATCCTGGTCTGTCTTTAACATGGTAAACCCAGAACAATGACAGAATGACCAGAAAATTCTAATATTTTTTTGAAAATTGATTTTATTGAACCTCCTGACAAATATATATATTTATATTAATTTGCATATATGAGTTTTAATTTGTATCAGATATGATACACTTGGCTTTACATGGTTAAACCCACATGGGCTAGCAAGGCTAAGACTCAGAGGCATAAGGCAAACCCATTAAAACATCCCGGTCCAGAAAGAATGAGGACAGAAGTGTCTACTTACTTTGAAATATATATTTTACAAAGTACACACAGACATGTAATCTTTTTTTTTTAATTGCCAAATTCTTAAACACCTCAATATAAAATCCTGTTCATATACAAAGTCCAGCAGAGCTGTGAGTCAGTAAATACTAATAAATGTCCAGAAAGGAGAACATGAGACTTGGTTTTATTCAATCTGGGTCAGTCCATGAAACTCTGGAGATGTAACACAAACAAAAAAAAAACCCCCAAAGGTTTTCAGAATTGCATCTTATTGTTGTTGTTTTTGTTTTTTTGGGTGACTAAGCACCTTGGCTGAGACGTGTCGAGCGGCTGTCTGGGACTGACCCCTGCAGAGGGGCGACCAAAGGCCACTTTAGAGTGTGAAAATGTTCATTTCTCACTCTTCAGTGACATGACACGGAACAGGCAGAAACAGAAATATTAAACCTGCTCTCAAGAAAAAGATGCATCGCTGTTCTGTGAACTGCATGGCAAAAAAACAATAATAATAATGTTATTAATAATAATAATGATAATGATAAAAGTACCTAGATAGCTAGAGATCTTCTGACGTGATTTTAATAGCATGCAGCTGAATATATTTCCTACGGTAAAAAATAATAATTTACAATGAATATTTCTTTAATTTATTGATCTAAAGGAAAACATATGGAACATAAGACCGTTGTTGTTTGGTCAATATATAAAATCTTTAAAACATATTGAATGTTTTGTTATCAGAAGATAGCAAAAATATACAAACCAAAATGAAATACCCTTTTTAAATGTCCCATATACAGTATAAATATCCAACTAGGGATTAATTTTTTTAACCTACAGAATAGCAATATTAAACATAAATGGAAGTGTTCAAATATGATGGAAAATAAAAACTATTTTTCTGCTCGTTCCCCCTTTCTGAGTGGTCACCATGAACAACAAACGGTCCTCCATCAAAAATAAGCAAAGCTTGTACTATTTTCTCTCTGTGCGCATCATAAAATACTAAAATAATTTGGCTAATCCCCCACTTCATCCCACCTCTAAAAACAGATGACTATTTTTGGTCTGAATTGCTCAAATTACACAATTAAATACACAAACGGGAAATGAAACACTAAGTAGAGACAAAAGGGAAAGTTTTTGGCACTAATATTTCTTCAGAGGGTTTGCAAAGCCCTGCATCCAGCAGGGCACTCATAACAGGAGTTTCTTGCTCTCTGTAGTGATGCTTCTGCTCTGCTTATACTGCTTCAATTCAGTCTGCAGCAGTGTGTTAAACATGTCCGGGTATGGTTGTGTGTTGATCTGGCAGTCGAAGAGTGAGATATGTAGTGACCATTCAGAAAGGGTACGTTTTCCGAGGGCTCCTTATAAGGCTTCGAACTCATCGATCCTCTGCTTGGTGTTGCCCTGCCTGATCTGTCGCAGAGTCTTGTATTTGTCTCGGCCAGCTCGCACGTTCTCACTGTGGAGGAGGTCGTTGGCGGTATTCTTTGATTCATCACGTGCCTGAGCCAGCTCTGAGGTCAGGGCCTGAGGGTGGAGGAAAGGAAGAAGAATGAGATCTGAGGGCAAAAACCAACAATGCCGCCTCTTATACAGTTCCATGAATGAGTCACCGTATCCATTTTAGCTCACTATAGCCTCGAACTTTATACCCCACAAAGACATATGTGTTAATCAGTCTTTAACCTTCCATCTAGCAAATGCACATCATGTTTGGCACCTCCTACACAAAACAGTAGTTTGGAAACTCAGTTTCTGCATTTACACGTGGATGAGGACAACAAACATTTTTCCCCTCTTTTTTTGCCGTGAGACATCAACATCTCTGTATGATTAGAGTTCTAACAAGAGTTCTATCAATGTGTGTTGCTTTAGCGATAAACATTTTCTGTTTTTTTTTCTTTTCTTTATAAAAACACCAGTGTATGTGACGATGTAGCCTAAATTGCATACAGTGTTTCCAGCAGTGATCATTTGTCCAAGCTGTCTCCTGCTGTTTGACACGTGTGAGAAAGGACGGCTTGTCCTGATCTGATTCTCCTGACACTTTCTGAAGTTCATGGCTGAAAACAGGCTGTGACGACGTTCCTGTAAAATCACTACAGTTTGCTTGATCACTTCTAGATTGGTCCATTAAAAAAAAGGGCTTGAATATATTCTTCAGCCCTGAGAATTTTACACCGTTATCTCCTGTAAGTTAAACTTGGCTCAAAAATCAAATACATTTCCATGCATCTGCAAGAGATTTGGAAAATTTTCTCAGCAGATTCAAAATTTTCTTCCAAACTCTTGTAGTTTTCCCATTAAAAACAATATGACTATTAGAAACAGAAAATATATATTGATCTGCGGCAGTTTCTGTGGCAGGAAACTGAGAGCTGACTTTATATAAAGTAGTGAGCAGTAAAGTTTTTGCTCTCCACACAGGAAGCGACAATCAACTGGGTAATCGGCGATAACAGAAAGTCAATGACATATCTAGCAACTTGAAGCAATGATGAGTGAAATAACCTCTGGCCATGTGAAGTTTTTGCAACTTCTAGATGAGCACTTAGTTAATATTGATGTGAGTGAAACAAAAGATGCTGTTAACTGTTATATAGTATGGCGTGGTAAATGCCTTGACAACCAGAGCCCAAATCGTCTGCTAGCGACCAACTGTCAAAGCGATGCGTGATGAGCAGTTCGCTTCCTGCATAAACGCCCCTCATTTCTGAACGCAGCTTTGAGATAGGATACAGGGCGATCAGGTGACTGAGCTGGTCTCCAACATCAAGTTCAAACATTCAAAGGTACCGCTGATTTCAACTTCCTGATGTTATAGTCTAGTATAGATAATCGAGCCAGAGCTCAACAGCTCTGGTTCTACGTGAAGGTCGAAAGAGAAGTGATAACAGGATGAATGCGGTGAAACTTGTAATCTTTCAATTTTAACAGAAATTACAGCTGTGAACTGGTTTTTACAGAATGTAGTGCTATTCTAGTCTTATGGACTGCAAAAATTGCTTTGGTGTTAATAGTGTTTAAGTTAGATCAAGGCTTCAATGAGAACTCTGATGCATTCAATAACACCAGGCCCTTCTGTGCTTTCACGGCCAAACTGTTTGTTCCAGTTAAACTCTTCTCTGTCTAGACTTGTTTCAAGCTGTCAGCTAATTCGGACTAAGATTACCTGAGGAGGAAGTTCTATTTCTAAATCTGTCTGTACAGATCTTCTACCCTAATGTTGGGTAACACAGTAACAGATAAGCATGAAAGCAGGTAATTCTTCCTGATTATTTAACTGAATTGCAGGAACCACACACGCAGCACTGTTTTTGTGTTCTATTCTTAACACAGCTGATAACCTCAGATAAAGGTGTTAATGTGCCATCACGCTCGCCAATGACTGACTGTGTGAGGTGCTAGTTTTCACCTTCAGCTGTTTCTGGACGCGCTCGTTCTTCTCGGCCTCAGTCAGGCGATCCTCCTCGTTGCGGTGGTCGTTGATGCCGTCCATGTGCAGGTCGGCGCTGTGCATGCTGGTGTTGTCGTCACTGTTGTCATCCATGAGGTGGTCGTACATGGGAGGAGGTGGTGGCGGCAGAGGCGTCGTCATCACATTGTGCAGCTCCTCCTTGGTTTTAATCAGATCGTCCTGGGCCTCACGGGCCTGGTGATGACAGAGAAGGTCAGTCAGCTCAAAATCAACGCTATAGAATTTCTAACTGCAAATATAAGGTCTGCAATAATTTCATTCAGTCCTTGTTTCAGACAGAAACAGCTGAGTGAGCCTGAGTAAACGGCACTGTGGTCACATTTAAGCTCTCACCCTGAGCTGCCATGAGTTGGCCTCCTCCTCCTTGCGTTTCTTAGCCTCCTCGAGCAGGCTGATCTTTGCTGTGTGCTCTGCCAGCTCAGCAGCCTGACACACACACACACACACACACAAAAGAAAACAAGAAATAAGAGAAACATATTATTTTATACAGAAGGGCAAATAAAGACTCTTGTAGCAACCAGAAAAAATACATCTCATTTTGCTCATGTCTGTTGTCTTATACTACCACTATACTACTTCTATGCCTACACTTCAAGAGACTAGAACCTTCTCCTTCTAATGAGAAACTAACCTAACAGACCACAATTGTTTCAAAGCATTTCAAAGAGTTTCCAAAAATAAATATAGGCAGCTTGATTTATTATAAGTGTCATATTAAATGACCTTTTTTCCCTGTTATTTTTTTACTTCTCCTTCCAAAAATAAAGAAACTTTGTTAATCAGATTTTAAATTTTCTGTAAGAATTAATTTTAATGTTAGTTTAAACCTTCCTTTGATCTTTCACTTGTTTGATATTTTTAGCTTTAAGCCTCAGTATGCATTACAAAAATATAAAATATTTATATTAAAAAATTCTAAAGAGTCACAAAGAAAACAGGTAGATTTAAAACTACATTTGATTACTAATTCAGAAAATATGATAGGAAACCAGTGTAAAAACTGTAATAGTTCATTTTTGGATTATTGCAAACTGCCGGCATCATTAAAAAAAGAAATAATGAAACAGGAAGCAGCTGTCACTGTGAGGAGGCATCTTAATTAAACCTAACCAGACCGTGTAGCCTCGCTGGGTGTTGTGGTACATTCCTTCTCACAACTACAACAATGTCAACGGCTTGTCTTTCACCACACTGAAGTATACCCTGCTCAGCATTAAACGGCACGCCTTCTCTAGCTGTTCAGTGGGTGTAGGCTGCCTCCAGCAAGCCATGAAATTATGTGAAAGGTGCTCGACTGGAAAATGAAGTTAGTGAAAACACTATCGTTAATGAGATACGTGGGTTCAAACAAGTTCGTATCAATGCTCTCACACGTCTTCTGTGAGCGGAAGCTGCACATGGACTTAATCCATTACAAATGTCTTAATGGGGTTTAAGTAAAGAGGGCGTCACAGCAGGTGTCTAATAAAACTGTGTCTGGTGCCTGAATGTGGAGTAGGAACCACAGCTTTTCGTGTAACGACAGTTGAACTGAAGCACAGTCTTGCAGGTGGTTCTGAGGGGCTGTTAGCAGTGTGGACCAGCTAGACACTACAAAATGCTTTTGTCTGGATGCTTATCATGAGCATCCACCTATGTAACAGTATTGAAATGAGAGGAAAATAAAGGAAAAATCACAAAAGACTGATTTAAAACACTGACCAGCTGCTCCTGACTCTTCTTCTGTTGCTCAGAGTGGCGGGCCAGCTCCTCTTTAGCCAGCAGGGCAGCCTGACGCTCTGCCTCCAGACGAGCTGCCTCCTCCTCTGCTCTCCTGCGCTCCTGCTCCAGCATCATGGCTCTCTGCAGCTGGTCTTGCAAATCTAACATGCAAAAAGAGGGGGAAAGAAAATATAATATGAGACAAATACTTTATCTAAACGTGTAGATATTTATGTTCATATGTTATTTTTTTCATTATCTTATAAGCTAACAGAGCAGCAGTATATATCTGTATATTTGTTACTATTAACTGAGACCACCACCTCACAGCAGTCTCTTAATAAGGAAGTTCAATAAAAAGTAAACCTGTCAGATGTCAAACATGTTTCCTGAATACCAACAAAGCTCTGCACCATGACTGTGTGAATGCTTTCTTATTTATAATGCTCCAGGTGTTTGATCAGCTGGAATTTAAATCATTTAACAACAAACACTGGAAATCAGAGTTAATTTACAACCAGACTGCTTCCGTAAGTCAATCAAATTGTTTTGTCTTTTGTTTATGACAAAAAAGCAGAGAGTCCATTCCAAGATGTAGTTTTTGTTCCTCTGTTTTGAATACAGAGCCATATGTAATCAAAAAGACAATGACTACTAATAACTGTGCTTCATTCCGTGCTGCTTTTAGTGTTATTTTGCGGGCAGGGGGTTGCCTTTGATTAATCATTTAATTTACACAACAAGTAAACTGAATGCATATCCTAATGACCTATTGTTACCAACCTGCATAACAACACATACACACATATTCCAAATATTTTCACACACACACTCAGATACATCTTTCCCCTCGCCTCACCTTTCTCTGCCTTCTTGGTCTTCTCCTCAAACTGGTAGAGCCTCATCATCAGGTCCTGCTTCTCTTGCTCCATCTGCTCCTTCTCTTTCTCAATGGCCTCTCTCTTCTTCTTCTCATTCTCCAGCTGGGCTCTGCAGATAACAGAAAGCAGCCGTGAGGACACAAACAGAACTGATGTAGTTGATACATGGTTACTGCAAAAGGCACACACACAAACGTAGCATTTGGTGCATGTTTGCAAAAACTGCTCTATAAGAGCTGGTGAAAACAACAAGACATTTAAATATGATTTTTTTCACGCAGTCATATTATACAGGTGAAGTCTTGTGATTTTAAGTTGCATGACACTCACAAAGACTTGGCAAACTGAATAACTTCAGGGTTTATGAGAGCTATAAAAAGCTGGCATGAAATCAGCTGATAGAAGGATGTGAGCAGAGCCCTCAGTAACCAAGAATTTTACTCACAGCAATGAAATTATTGGCTTCAGTTAATTTTTTAACTAATTGTTTGTCCACTAAATGTCCAAATAATTCATTAGTAACTTAGCAATTAACTTTTATATACTGGGTTATGATTAATTAATTATGATTCATTCTTAAACACCATTTTAGTCTCTTACAAACTCTTGGAATCCACTATAATTTTAAAATACTCCACAGCCGGACTTTGTTTGTCTCTCAGAAAACTTTACGTCAATCTGCCTTAATCTAAAAAACTGAACAGTTCATTTTCTCAAATTTGGGATAAGTTATTCATCTCTCTATTCCCTATTCTTAGTTAAACTTCATTTGACTCTCTTCGCATCCTGCTCATGTCTCCTGCTGCAGAAAAAAACCTGATATCTCTCTGGGTTTGTTAATGTTTAAACGGGACATGAAATGCTACACACATCAAAGCTAATATACACAATTGATCACTGCTCTCAAAAACTGGCATAGATGTAACACTGTCTGTGAAGCTGGATTTAAGAAATAAGTGCTTAAAGTTTAGTGCCATTTTCTTTTAGCGTGAGGTCGTGTGATTGGCTGGTTGCAATAGATTTACATTAGTTATTGTTAGCTAACTAATGATAGAATCGATAATACCGAGGAAAATAACGACACTAAAACTAGGGGATCGCAGTTGTGTTGCCCTAAATAGAACAATGAGTTCTATGTTAAGAAACTGAGCCAATAGTGTCAATTTCCACTGTCTGTCTCTTTAGCAGTAATTGGCTGCTCGCTGTTTGGCTAGCTGCACTCAAACAGGAAAATCCAGCTGTTAGCCATAATATTTGGGTTTGTAAAGCACTTTATAAATGAGTACTTAGTAAGGTAGTTAGTTTTAGTGTCATTATTTTCAACTGAGTTATTGATTCTCACTAAATACTTACATTAGTTTATGTTAGCTATTACCGCAACCAACCACATGACATCACGCTCCGCACAGACAGATGGCGCTAAACATGGTTTTAAAACTTTAAGCATTTATTTCTTAAATTCAGTTTCACAGACAGTGTTACATCTATGTCAGTTTTTGAGAGCAGGGATAACTGAATTAAGTTAGCCTTTGTGTAGCGTTTCACGTCCCTTTTAAATAAAGTTTCATAAGGGACTCATCGTAAACCATCTGGTAATTATGTTTGAACACCAGTCAACCCGATTACTGGACAGACTGCGGGCTACTATGCGCGAGCCTGAACTGGTGATCTGATGTCTCTCTCTCTGGTATTCACTGTTGTTGTCTGTTCATGGTTGTCTGTGTTTGAACAGCTGTGTGGGACAGACAGTGAGCTGACAGCTGCTGTTGAGATCAGGGTCAACATCCATTCAGCTCAGTGAACACAGAAAGTACATTTCCTACACTTCACCTTTTTTGTAGTTATTATATCAAACCTCTAATATTTTCTGTGCACCCTTTTCTTTCCTCCCTGACCTCTAAATAAAAATCAATCAAGTTACTGTGAAAATAATAACTGATAAGGGGTGTTAGTAGCAGCTGCAGCAATGACGTGTTCTAATGTTGTGGTTGATTGCTCATTTTATTCACAGCTGACTCAGTGAAAACACATCAGCTCTTATCAAAATCTCAGTGAATGGCACAAGGGTAAAACCATAATAGTCTAGAGGGTTTATGTTCTTACTTATGTTCTTAAGACAACAGTTACACAATAATTTTTAAGTGTGAAACTACTTCTTAAATTACACTCATCTCCACAATCTGCGTACCTCTCCATCTGCTTCTGGTGTTTCTCCTCTTTGGCCTGGGCCTTCATCTGCTGCACCTCAATTGTGTCGGGTTTACGGCGACGCATGTACAGCTCGTGGTTGCCCATGCACAGGTGCAGGATGCGCTTGTTTATGCGCAGTCTCGGGGCGTAAAACACAAAGTCCTGAATTTGGGAAAAGAATCAAACAATAAGAACGATAAGGAGAAAACAGAACAGACACTGGGCTGAATAATGAATACTGGTGCTAAAAAAAACAAAAAACAACCTCCACTCGTAGTAAAAGGCAGAGCAGCCTGAAGTGCACAGATAAGGTTTATACCACTTGCTTTTTTGTGTGTGTCTGCAGTCAATCACTAACAGTGCTGCCTAGAAAGCAGCTCTGGCTATTCTTTATGCTCGATTGTAATGGGAGATATGCCTAATGGTTTCCCCCTCCGCTGCAGAGAAACATGATACCACAGGCAAAATGGAAGCAGCGAGCTTAAATACAGAAACACACTGTAACCCAATACGCCCTGAAAAGCCTGATATGAAAGACAAAGAATGCTTTAAGTAGGGGAAATTACATAGAAAAATAGGACCTTTGAAAGAAGAGGTGTGTGTTTGTGTGTGATTGCTTAGATGAGATTTCTCACCGGAGATTTCTTGTCAATAGGCTTGATGATGAATTTCTTATCATTGAAAGAAATGTTTCTGATTTCACTCCAGGGGAAGCCAATCTTAGGGGTCAGTCTGAAGGAGAAAGCACAAGAAAATAAATGTGAAATATATGGGATAATGTGGATGTCCACTGGGACACAATAATAATCATTTTCTGATATAGTGTGACCTTCCTGCATGTTTCCACTGAGATAGATAATGGTGCCAATACAGTGTTTTAAACATAAAAACCTGAATTGTCTGCTAAGTACGAGTGCATTTTTCCACCAAAAATGTTGTACATAATTAACCACAGCTTTCTTTTTTCACACTGTAAAAAACTGATTGCTCTTGGTCTTCTCTTGTATGAACTGTTTTGTTATCTAGATGGCCTAAAAAAACATCAGTATTTACACCTCCGCCTCTTTAAAAAAAATGGACTTGCACAGAGCATGATGACGAAATAAAATACTACATCACACCCAGTTTTTATTGTCTTCATACTGGTTTCAGGTCTCGTCCTGAGGTTTTATTGCTGGTTTACACGGCATTGAAAGGTTTAGAACTTTCATCCTTAGACAAGTGTCTCTTTCATTCTGTTCCAAGCTCAAAATACTGACCTACAATGACAAAGATCTTAATAAAATTAGACTTTTTAAGTAGCTTGAGTGATTACTCCAATAAAATTTATTTTATTACAATTTAAGTAATGTTTCCAGCACTTTCCTTGGAATAATGTGCATTCTTATCAGTTGTTATTAATACTTCAGCTCCAGCGGTTAATAGATTAATAGACAAGTAATCAGCAACTGAGAAGCAAGTCATCGTTTCACTTTTCTCGAATTTATGCTAAAATCTCTACTTATAGTTTCTCAAATGTAAAAAATGCACTTTTTATGTCACATTATTTTATTTTGGACTAAACAACCAAACTGAAGGCAGCTTGGAGTACATTTGTGACTCTCGATTCTAGCCCCATTTATTCTAAGAATACAGACAGTTTACATATCATAAAGCTATAGAAATACACTGAACAATCTCATTTGGATCTCATTTCATTCATTCTGAGTCAGAATAATTCTCTTAGCATGGATTTCAGTAACGAAGTAGGAGGGATGAATCTGGGGTGTGGCAGGCTACTTGTAGTGCCAGAAAAAAAAACGGAACAAATGCCTGTCTTTCGACACAATGGAGAGGCCCATAATGTGATCATCTGAAAAAGCAGCTGCACACCTGCCAACGAAACTATGAAACTATGAAACTATGAAACTATGAAACTATGAAACTATACTCCCTGAACTGGAATTTCGCTCCAGCTGACCCTGACACATGCCTGTGGAATTGAAAAAACAATGTGGAAGTTATCTGCTGAGTATTTCTATCACACTTCTGTGGTCTACGGAGGTGTGCTTTATCAACTCATTTTGGTAGCACAGAACTCTTTGCTCAAAACTTGTTTCGATTTTTGCTTTGAAAAGGAGAAACCATGAATAAATGGATTTTACTACCAAGTCTCTCTTTTAACTAATTCACTAATGTATAAGAATTCATGTGTAAGAAATATTAGCATTTGATTGCAATGGCTCCAAAAACTAAATATATGAGTAATAAAAGGTGTGCTCCAGCTTCAAGTACTGCTGCAGTCTGTAAATGAAAATATGTTGTAAATTGACAGTAAAAGGTCAGATAATGATAGCTGCACAAAGCTGAAGAGATAACAGAGAGTAATGCTGCATACTCGGGATACTCTGAGACAGAGCTGCATGGGTGCAGCCGTCTTTGCTTCAAGCTGTACACTGGTCCTACAAAAAGCTATGTTGTAGCTGTTTACTGGCACCAGGGGGCAGTGTCAAGAAAATGTGTGGAATAACTGGTCTGTGGGCTACTCTTGTTTGAGTTTCTGCTGTTATGTGTCCTTTTGCTGAGCTCTCATTACAAAAGACTTTGCACCTCCGAGACTGATTCTCAGCTGGAAAAGGGTGCATGCCCACTCCGGATCAGAATGGAACTGAAAGGCAGACTGGTGTGGCATCTTGGTGACAGGGATACTGTATTGGAGAGAAGGCAAAGCTATAGATTTACAAGCTGGATGCAGTGACCAAAAGAATGATATTGGAGATAGAACTGGCAAAAAGGACCTTCCCTCAAAGGGAGTCTGTACTCAGTGTCAGAGATAAGGAGAGGAGATCAGTCATTCAATAGGGACTCTGAGTAGAGCCATTAAAGGAAGTGGTTCAGGCATTTGACAAAGACTTCTCCTGGGTGCAATGTTTCCGGCATGTCCTACTGGAAGGAGTCACTGTGGCAGACCCAGGACACAATCAAGAGTTTGTGTCTCTAAGTTGGCTTGGAAACACCTTGGTGTCCCCATGGAAGAGCTGAAGGAGGTGGCCAGGAAAAGAGATGACTGGGCGTCTCTGAGTGGACTGCTGTCCCCACGAGCCGGCCAAGTAGCAGAAAACAGATGATGGCTGTTAAAAACAATGAAAACTGTCCACTGCAGCTGCTGTTTATGTCTTTCATGCTACTTTTTGGAGCTTTTTTTTTTTTTATTAACAATATTTCCTCTTCATGGTCCCCCTGTCTGCTTATGCAAATTTAAAATTCCAACCTACATCAAAATCCCCTGCACACAAGTGCATCTGTACAGGTTGCATACCCAAAATCATTCACTCTATGTAGTAAAATGCCTCCACAAACAGACACAATTCTCCTTGAGACACCAGACTCATTCTGCTGATAATATCATTTATTATTTGCTGACTTTAGTAGCTAGCAGAACTAACTTACATCTGAATGTGCCACCAATTAATTTAAGAACCGTCTCATTATGCTTAGGCCCAACTGGTTACCAGTTTTTAGGCCTGGGGATTGCAACGATGATGGACAGGAGTCACAAATCATCACTTTCACCGACTGACAAAGAAGTCTAAACTAAAGCTTAAATGAGTGACTAATTAAGAAACAACCGTGTGGTAATATGTGGCATTAACAGCTACTCAACGAACAAAAAGGCAAAAATTATCAGCCGGCATCTTTACTCTTTTAAAATATGCATCAGTAATCTACCGAAAATCCCAATATTGGTCAGGCTCTACAACAAAAAAATTTATTAAAGTAACTTGTATTGATATAAAAAATATATATGAATAACTGTTTCAGGTCCAGTGTGTCATTCAAGCTTGGACTATTCAGTGCTACACAGTTAAGGCCAATTAAGAATCTATTTATTACACCCGTTTAACTCCTAAATGCTAAAAAGTGAATTTAGTGTGTGAGGCTGCACTTGCCTGCTAAAGACAAAGCTTTGGCTGAAAAAAAGCAAAAACTGCCCTTTAAAAATGAGCTACAGCAGCGGGAGCAGAAGGAGTTAATCCAGCTCCAGCCTGGGTGAAACCTTGGCTGCACTGTTGCATTGTGGGCCGGCTGCCTTCATTGGAGAGAGAGTGTTGTAGGTTTGCTTCGCATTCTTAAGTGCTGCACAGCTTGAAAAACCAGTCGGCGTAGCCATGGTTACAGCAGAGGGCACCATGGAGGAGAGGCATTTTTATGCTGATCCCAGCGAGCGCACAAAGAGACACTCACACGAGACCTGGTCTGATTCCTAACAATATATTTGCTCTCTTCTTGGAGGTTTCATACCTCAAGCTGTTAAATTAGACTTAAAGTGAAATGAAGCGCAGGAATGACTCAAACACAATGGCAGTAAGGGTAATTAAATCATTTAGATTTGAGAGGACAATAAACCAAGCTTGTAAATGTTCAGTTAGAGGCCTGATGAGGGAGCTGAGATGCCAAGCTTTCTCTTTAAAATGTCACCATTGTGCTGTGCTCATTTGTTCCACAGACATAGCAGACCGCACTGCATGGCAGGAAAGTGGACAAACTTAATACGTGAAGAGTGACAATCGAAGCCAAAGCTGGCAGCTTTTCCAAGCACGGGGTCAGTGACTGAAATGCAAGTCATCTGGGATGGCGTGCCCCTTTAACACAGTGTACTTCACTCCAGTAACCACACACAGGAGGCCACAGGGGATCTCAGAAGTCATTTCACCAAACCAGACGGTGATTATCTCCCAAAGTGTCTTGGCCTACAAACAAAGTGGAAAATCACAAGCAATGCCAGAAAGCAATGTGGAAACACCCAATCACCAGTGTGTGTTGGATCTCTCAAAAAGTAGGTCTGCCTTCAAGCACAGCACCACAAACTGATCAAAGGATAGAAAAAATACAAACATTTACTTTGTTTTATTTGTTTGTTTTTAACAGAAAAAATGGGTAGAGATTGACTGTACACTTTAGCCTGGTTAAGCAAGTTTATCTCAGTGTTACCAAAGGTGAGAACGAGAACTGAATCAGATGGAATGACAGGCGAGGCAAAATGTCTGCAGCTTTTGTATATCATCTGCATGTTTAAATGGCCCAAAAATGCGTCCGGAGATTTTTTTTCCCATTCAGAATTATGTAGAGCATGAAGTGAACCTCTACAAACAACTGATAACCTTTATCTCTAAAAGAGATTAGGTCACAGTCACCCAAGGCAGTCAAAAAATAAGTACTAAAGTCATGAAACCACATTATGTGCCAATTTGTGGTCCAAAACCCAGAAGAACTCCAAATAAGAACCTATTATTTGACCTGCACAGCAGACTTTTGACTCAAAGTAAACTTTTTTTTTTAATTTCTAACTATCTGTATCTCCTGTGTCTTCATTGTTATTCTTGTCATACTGCCTGCTGTAGAACAGGAACAGTGATTAAGCACAGACATGAACCTGGCTCAGCCAGTTTAGTTGTGCAAATGGTAAATGGACTGGTTCTTATGCACCACTTTTCAACTGTACTTGAGCACTTAAAGCGCTTTATACAGCATGTCTCAAGCCCTTTTTCTACACCTAACACTCACACCACAGATTGCTGGTGATGGTTCAATCTGATTAGTAGATGGCCTGGTCTACCTCCTGAGCCACAGCCACCCCAGGGCCACAGCTACTCCAACAACAAGAAGAGACACCAACACAGAGGCCATGTACTTGAAGGAGCTTACTTGTCATCCTTCTCATAAATATTGAGTCCCAAGGCGTCCACTCCCAGACGCAGCTCTGTTCCCTTCTTATTCTTGATGTCGAAGTAGTTGACTCCGTACATTTCAAGGTCCTGGGCGATCTTCAGGTACTCCAGCATAGCATCCTCCCTGCAAGAACAGGCAAAGATCAGGACATGAAAACCACAATTCCTTTTAGTAATGCAGGATTACACAAAAATAATTCTTAACAGAATTATTACTGCAGAAAAACAGTAACTCACTTCAGCATCCCGTGGTGCTCCTCGTGCCACACCTGGATCCTCTCCTCCCACTGATCTTTGGATAACTTGTGCTGTTCCATGACTCTGTAGACAGAAACAGAGAAAAAAATGTATGGGATTAATGTAGAAATATGCTATTTTCATGCAGTTTCTGTGGTATAAAGTGGAACTTTATGCTATGGGATAGCATAACGTGGCAACCCTCTGGCTGATCTGGGAATTTTGTTCTCTTATCCTGCATCAAAGATATAGTAAAAAAGCACAAAATGCTGTTGAGTTACTTTAGACTTCACGCTCCATCCTAATGCATATATGTTCATGTCTGTGTGGTTGGAGGGGCTTAGAGCTGCAGGCGTGGTTTTTTTGTTGTTGTAGATTTCTAGAAGAATTTCAAATTTCTTGCTTAGATCAGTACAAGGCAGCACTTTGTTGTTTAGTTTTGCAACAATCTCTACACCTTTGGGACAGACACATAAAGCATTACGCCCAGACATTTAAAGTGCCAATCCCTGACATACCCACTCACATTTAAAATCCTGTTCCTGGTTACTAAGAGTGGTAAAATATATATATGAAGAGTAACTGCATATATCTAGGTGAGGGTGGAACAAGAGCCAATCTAAACAGATTACAAGCATAATTTGCTCTTAACTCATTGTTAATTAGAAACAATGTTTCCTCAATAAAATCCATCTCCTCTTTTGTTTCTTTGGGTGGAGACACTATGAATTTCTTTGGAGCTGGTTCAACCAGTGCTGCTGATTTTAAGCATGCTACTTCCTTTTTTCAAAGAAATTTTCCCCATTAAAAGCAAAAAAGGACAAACAAGTGATTTAGATTAATAAGCCAAGTCTGCAAGTCTCAATTAGTGGCTATGAGCTCACATCTCACCTGTGTGGCAGTAGGCGCTCAGACACTAGGTACCCAGGCCGGTGGACATCCTTATCGTAGTCTCCAAACTTGGCCTGAACAGAGTAGGAGGCCAGCAGCACGGCTGTCTCTGGTGGGCAGTAGACCTCATCGCTCAGGATGCTCTCCTTCACCTGCAGAAAGAAGAGCTTCTGGGTGATCTCCTGGATCAGCTCCTCAGAAACGTCCTCAGGGAAGAACTTGCCACGAAACTTGAACTGCAGGGGGTTCTCCTTCTTCACATCCTGAGATGACACCTGGAGAGAAATTATCCAATAAACATACTCACTTACTGCCTTGATAAGTTGGTTAGATAAGAGGCTGATATCTTATCAAAGCAACTGCTATCTCAAAGTATTCCAAGTAATTTTATGGATGGGTTTTCATTTTCATTCAACTTTTCAAAATGATTGTCAAGCTGTGACTTCAGTTTCAAATTGTAAAACTGGACTGTATAAATGCCAGAACTGTCAGAGTGTAAATCAAGACTTTCTGTAGCAAGAATCATCCTGTGACTCATGACGCTATAAAAGCATGTTTTAAAAACAGTTTCTCTAACAAATTTACTATTATTGGCTACAAAACAATCACAATCGGTGGTATAAATAATGGATTTGATCCACACTTTAAACCATATGAAACCCATTGCGCTGTAATGACCTAAAAAGGGGGATCTGCCCTTTCATTTAGTCGAAATAAACTTTATTAACTCCCAGCTACAGTGTGTGTTTACACAATACACCTCTTCCTCTCATTTCAAAACAGGAACCAGGCAGTCTTGATGAAGAGAATGGGACCAGGAATATTCCAGTTTGATCATTGCATTGTGCTGATGAGCTGCACTGTCAGCAGACAGTGTACAGTTTGCTGCTGCTGACTGAGGCAAGTATAACTCTCTCTTTCTCTCTCTCTCTCTTTCCCTCTCTCTTCGAAAAAAAATTATAAATTGACAGGACCGATTAGCATCGTTTCTGGCATTTGTTTCATTCAGAAAGGTATTACTCATAACCTTTCTTTTCAAATCTATTAGAGATAAACAAGATCGGTGTACTCAACATTATTTTAAAAATCTGAGCTTAACCCTCCTCATGGGAGCCGAAAAAGAGGCTGGTGTACATTTCAAAAATTATCCCACACATTTTTCTTTCATGTAAAAACGTGGTGCCTCCCTCCCTGCTTCAGTTTGAGATTCAGAAGTAGCACCCAACTAGTGGTTCAAATTTGGAATCAATTATCGTCAGATCAGATTATTAGGACAGGATCAGCTGCAGAGTTGAACATGTGGACTATGGACATATGACTTTATCACCTGGCTGATTTTCTTTAGGCTGCTCCCTTATTCACAAGCTTTACATTTGATTTGGCAGATTTATTTTTATTTTAAAAACCTAATGCCCTCTTAACGCAACCCCAAAAAGGATCTGGGTCCCCTCCCGGAATCGAACCAGGGATCTTTTGTTTATCAGGCAAATGTGTGCTTTTCACAAGACTGTTTTTGTCCGTTTGATAATGCAGATCAACACTGAGCCGAGGCCAGGTAAAGTGTGTTTACTCAGGGAAAGAGAAGAACATAACAGAGGCAGCTATGGTTCACAAAGAGTTCATACTCTTTGTCAAATAATCCACCTCCAGCTGATAACATGTAGCCCTGACCCCCTCCACCCCTTCCACCCTCCTTAGCCACTGCAGCACACAGAAACCAGGTGCCACATCATATTACGAATATAGCAATATAGCAGCTACTGACTGAATGAAAGGCAAACAAGAGACCTTTGAATACATCGCCCCCTCAGAACAATGCATTCTTTCTCTATTACTCCATACTAATCAAAAGGGAAGGGTGTGAAAGGAGCCAAGCAGACATGACATACATGCACAGTATGCAGGAATCAGGTACCATGTAATGAAAAGGAAAGTGCCCATCAAAGTATAAATAAGACTCAGGTTTGGCAATATCAATAATAATAATCATTCACAATTAAGTATCAATACACACACACACACACACACTCACAAAAACATATTTTAAAGCTGGGTTTTACCTTTTTGTCCAGTTTTAGCCAAGTGTGGTAACCTTTGCCGTCCACATACTGAAGCCCGAAGTACCAAATTTCACGCAAGCCAATGGTTTTTACCACCTGCACAGAGAAACAGAAAGCACTCAGATTTAGCAGAGCTACAACAGCTATTCCTTTTATCGCCTAACGCACTACAACAGAAATCTTTTTGTAGCTTAATAACATTTTTATTATCTGGATGTGACACAAAGTTTTTCATTTTCAGAAAAATACAAAGATTGTGGCCTTCATGCCTTGTAATTTTCCACATAATCACACTAACTTGTAATTTTTCTCCTCTCACAATGACGAGTTGTGAAAAGGCCTTTGAAGGATTTTCAACCTTTGGCAAAGTCTATACAATCTATCCTTAAGATGACATACTCAGGTACCACAGTAATCTGGTGGACAGCCCTCATAGTATTACACATTCTCAGGCTTTAGTTAATGCAGTTAGACACTGCCAGGACAAACAAAGGTACGCTCTTAAATGCTACATGTTTGATCCCTCTGGCCACATAAGATCCTGGGCATGAACCACTGTAAAACCATTCACTGTATTCTTACTGGTCTCTGAGGATCCCTGAGGAACATTTTCTTTTAAATCACAAAAAACACAGTTAAGACAATAAGTAAATCGCCACAACAATAACTGGAAAATATCATTTTTAACGATCATTCAATATTAATAAGTAATCATGCAGCAAAACAAGACTCTTTTGATTAAATGCAACACTTAGCTAAATCCACAATGTTTTTCTCTTCTTGATAGATATCAACAAGTCCCTGAATGAAAGAAGACTGGCTTTGTTTTAGACCTTTAGATGGATTGTATTTAGTGCAGCAGCAACAAGACGAGAGCCTGGAATAAGAGAGCAAGAGCACTTCAGCCTGCATCTCACCTGTAGTGAAACTCATAAGGCTTGAGAAAACAATCGGTCCTTTCATGGTGCTTTTAGATTTGGGGTCCACAGACTGAGAGGGAGAGATACCAGAAGGAACAGCGACACATATACCTAAATGAGCTTCTGTTTCACATTCAGTTGAAGAAATCCCTGATACCACTTTGCCGTTGAAGTAATCCGTATAAGCTTACCAACAACATTGTGGTTCGCCTAAAAAAATTAACTAGCTTCCAAAATATGCTGTACAAGTTACGGACACCTGCTGACAAAGGATTTTGAAAATAATACAGTTCATTAGAGGTGGATTAAATCTGAACCCGGGGACACGGTTTTAGTGGACTGACTTCGCAGCAGGGTGATTTGGCAGGTTGCCTCGACTTTAATGGGTTGCTGCTAGTTTACCTCAATATCCGTCAAGAGCTCTGAAACCCGAGTGTAGCACTTATTCCCTCCGAGTAAAACATTCCAGTTAGAAACTTAGCTTCAAGGTTTTTGGAAATTCAATTTAAGCCTTTTGATTACATTTTTAACATTAAACAAAATCCTATATGGTCACAATACCTTACTGTTAAAACTATAAAGTAAAACCAGTAAGACGGATATAGGGTTAAAGTGGTAGAAAATGAATTAATAGACTGAATCCCTTGACTATTTGTTTAAGTTTTAGCAATGGCTTAGACTCGATTATGAGATAATAAGCTTCATCATCACTGTAACATTACATTACTGAAGTCCTGTATTGAAGTTTCTCAGTGTTTTAACTATCACTGTCTTGGTATTGGTGGAGTCAATCTGACAAACAAACCAAAGACACTACATGCTTATCACAACAGTGGCCCACCCTAAAGCACACCCTGCTTTACTGCACTATTTGACTCCGATGGGATCATCATTCACAAAAACAAACATTGGATTATATTTACTGAAACTAACAACTGAGACCACAAACCCTCAAGGAAAGTGTTTACTGAAGTTAATCGTCAACTGAGTTAAAGGGTAGCTTTTCATAGACTTTAATGTAGCTGGACTACTTTTTGCAACCAGTGGAGTCGCCCCCTATGGGCCATTAGAGAGAATGCAGGTTTAAGGCAGGCACACCCAAACAAGAGGCCTTCCTCACGTGCAGTGCACTGCAGAAAACAAGACACTTTCCCTAGTTCTCAGTACTGCAAATACTCTGTGTGGTTTAAGGAATTGTCTGCCCTCACCTTGATAGCACTAAAGTCTTATGAAATCTGCTTATATATTTGCTACTAGTTAGGCAGCACTAACTGAAAACTCTTTATTTTGCTAATGATCAGCCTGATTCTCATCCAGAATGAGAATTTCTCATTTTCTTTCAGAGAATGTGTTACGTCCTACCTGCCAGACAGGATATTCACATAACTGAATTTTTACCCAGGAAGCTCTCTGTTAGCACTTTGTCAAGTTTATATCTTTAAGTTACACTGAAATGAAGCATCGTAAAGCAGGTGATCCGCAGTATGGGGCTAACACTGAATCCTAGAATCCCAGCTTTAGTTACGAGGCTGTAATGTCTCCTAATGTTTCTGTCTGTAGCAAAAATGACAAAATGTTTCAGACTTTTAAATTAATGACTATTACCTTACATATGAGCCTTTTTCCAGTGCTGAATTGAATGCCTTTTGGCTAACTTGTGGATGGTTTTACTAAAAAATTCTTGATGACATTACCCAGTATGAATAAGTTCATTTTCATACATAAAACCAAAGAGGCCAAAGAGGCAACCAGGACAGCTCTGCATTTTTCTGGCAATGATTAAGAAAAGAGGGGGAAAACACCTGTGAAATATTTAGCAGTCAGGTTAACGCTAAAAGCCATCAGACATTGAGTGAAAGTCTCTCCTACTGGTTTATGGGAGCTCAGGCCTTGTGGTAAAAGGCAGGAATGCCACTGGCCTGAAAAAGCATTACTCACTGGATCCCCCAGGCAGACTAATCCAGAGTGTTCCAGTGACTGAGGCGGGGAAGGGAGAGGTTCCCCCCCCCAAACAAGGACCGACCACGACAAAGGTGGAGTGTGCCCTGAGGTGGGATTGCCGGTTCGAGGCAAATGACAATGACCATGACCAAGGGAGTGTTGAAAATCCAGAGTTGCTCATTTTAATAACTAAGAATAGCTCTACCATAACACAACCACAAACATCCCACATTGGAACATGTTACCTCTCTTGACAAGGAACTCAGCAATGTTTTTGTATGAATCTTTGACGTATGAGCTTGGGTGCCACATTGTTCTGCTGCCACCTGTCAGACATATTTCTTGGACTTGGATTCGGTTCAACACATTGCTGAACTGTTTAAAAAACGTTGCCATGATTTCAGCTGCTTCACAGCAATTGCCCCTCCAGCTTTTAACTGATCCAAACCAGTTCTACAGAGCTGAAGCTGAAAATCTGTCGAAACCACACCGACGCAGGAGAAAGTATCTGGAGGCCGAACGTGGCCAGATTTAACTAACCACTGCTACTACTGTAAAATGCAGTGGCAGTGATTTTCCTAACTGTGGCTTAAGGCAAAACGAAAAGAAGCAGAAGTCACATGGAAGTGAAACCGTATGAGGGTGTGTAGGGGAGTGGCAGGCGTTTCTCCTTAACAGCAGCATGACAAGGACGAAGGCTATGATCAGCGCTGACCACACGGGCCACGCCAGGCCTCACATTCGCACTGGGAATGAGCTCACTGTTGTTACTCAGCATTTCCGAAGCTGCTGAACTCTATGAGGGTACTTCTGTTTTCTGTTGCCGACTGCTTTCAAGGCTTTCAAAAAATATATATATATTTTTTTTTTTTAAATCAGGCACAAACAGACTTCAGGGCCAAGGAATTTCCAAAGTTACTGTCACACATTTAAACCTGGAGGCACAGTGAACGGTTGCTCAAAGCTTTGGAGATAATTTCCCATGCTTGGAGTAGCAAATTGTATTGATGATAAAAATAGAGCATTGTGAACTGTCTCTGGCACTCACAGAGAGAGAATGATTATCTGTGGCACACCCTACTTACAGCCATTGTAACAAGTAGGCGAATAAAGCGAGGTCAACATCAGGGTCTTTAGTTCATCTTTACTTCTACAAAACTAGTGACGATGCCTCTGCTATTTGAAAATTTGTTATGAACTGATCAGTTACATGCAAGTAATTCATACACCACTTTACACGAGACATCAAACATGCCCATTTTTGAATCTGGAAGTTTTTGTTGTGATTTTTTAGGTCAATACTACACTTAACATGACTGCATTCAAATGTCTTTGACTAAAAAAAAAAAAATCAATCCACAGTCGGCTTTACTTTGCTATTGAAAAACAAGTTAAACAGGAAGTGGCTAAAACAATGCCTTCCCTCCCCCGGTGCTGTCGTAAAAGCCACAGAGGAGCTCATACTAATGACTCGTCATCTACATTTGGATCTTTGCTACAGAGTTTCACAATGGCGTCATAAGCAACAGGAAAGTGAAAATTAAAATGGTCTTCTTTAGTAAGGCAGGTGACCAGTAATAGCAACAAGAAACAAAGCCAGATGCTATGATTACGTAATGTCATTCACCGTAGTGGGTAAAAATATCAAACTGACTTACATCAACACTCAACTCGCCCCTGATGGAAGACTACAGAAACATAAATCTGAGGTTAAATGCCAGCACAATTAAGCTGTAAGGCTTTGCAGAAGAATGAAGCAATCAGTAATAATTTACAGTCAGTGAAGACCACCGTTCACTAGACAGCTACAGTCACAACAGGTAAATGTTTACTTCACTGTGACCACACCTTTCACTCTGCACTGACACTGTGTAACCACCCACACAGACTTCATTCACCACTTTAAGCCATAAACCATCAAGTTGATTGACATATTCATCAAGTTTCATGTTCGCTTCATCTTAAGCGTTACATTCAGCTGTTGTTCTTCATCACCGGAAACTTTTAATAACAGTCCCTGATTCTGAAAAGGAGTCTTTAAGGAAAAAGATCCTGTAATCTGGTCTGTGCTGGACAGCTTTTCAGGCCCAGAAGTAATGACTGGAAAGTCACAACAGCCCAGTTTACTGGTGCAATAATACAGGTCACAGCAGTTTGAAAATTAATCTAAATGCAATTCTTTCTGGAAAGGAAACTTGATTTGACAAATATTTTGATTTATAATGTGCAGTAACTTAAGTAAAGATTGAAACATTGTGAATTGAGTTAGTGCATGCACTGAAAACATGTTGGTAATTAGTTGTTTTATTGCCAGCAAATAAAAGCAAAGAAATCCCCTGTCAGAGACAATCATTACAGTATGAACATTAAATGTTAGCTGAAGCCAGGAACTGCTGCATAAACGCTGTAAGCAACAGGAAGCAGCTAGCAAAACTCAACAAAATCTCCCAAAAACACATCTTTTAATTCTTTTATTTATTTGGGTAAGGGACATGAGGCCTCAGGAGGAAGAATGGGAACAGTGAGATTTTGACACTCAGTATGCAAGCACTTAGTCTTCAGTCACACAGTCTTAGAGACCAGTCAGTGACCCCTGGCAACCTTCAATCACTGGGGGGAAAAGGTGGTTACTAACAGATTGCCACGGTCACTTGTACTTACCTGTGTCATAATTTGTGTCAGATAATTTTCCTCCATCCCACTCTAACCCTTATGTCCTCTTCTGTCACAACTCTACGTGTCCTCCTTCAGTACATACATAAACCTCCTCTGCAGTCCTCCTCTTTCTTCCTGCCAAGCAGCTCCTTACTTAGCATCTTTGTCCAGTATATCCACTATCCTTTCTCAGCATGATTCCTAATTTTGTGCCAAACTATATTTACCACCTTGGCTAAAAGATTCAAAGACTTTATATCAAAATAAATCCCAAATTGTTAACTTTTCCACATAATATTGTTTCCAAAGTCTTTAAAATTTTTTAAAAGGCCAACACTGATGCCACAGTCAAGTACAGAGGTGATATGCACTTTACCTGGTCAAACAGCTGCTTGCCGGTGGTGCTGGGCTGGATGGCAAATTCCAGCTCAGCGTCCATGGTGGTGACGCGAACATTGACCTGCAGAAAAACATGAGAAAAAAAGTACAAATGCTGACCCAGAGACACAGAGGGGTGCTTATAGGTAAAAAAAAACAAACAAAAAAAACCAAGGTAAATCATACTAAACTGCTGCAGAACATAGCTGCAATGTGTGTGTTTATGTGTGTGTCAGTGTGTGTTTGGTAAGGGGGGTGTATTTGCAGAGTAAACAGAAGGGGCTCTGCTTTCTCAGAGACAGACTAGCTGATTGAAGGGAACTGTGCTGCAAAACTGGAGGTGTTATTGATTAAAATATGCAGTGACGAGTCCAACTCATGAAAGTAAGATTAGATATCATAAGCACAGCTTACACCAGTTTCCCAAGCTAATAATGGCACAATGTATGTTATTCTGGATGGTTCAACTGAAGGAACTCCATTCACTCAGTCCTATTCAAAACTTCAGAGTCTTTCACTTCTCTGGTTAATGACTGATCACAGTGACCTGTGCTTACAAAAAGAGGAGGTCCATCGTACTGAAACCTGCTCTACTGGCCCAGAAGTTAATGTCCACTCACAGCCATCCACCCCGGTGATTAACGTGCAGAATCATTTCAAACAATATGACTGCCGTGCTTCGCTGAATAATGAAAACTGACGTCAAGTGTGTCTCATAATGGAGAGAAACGGTATTCTGTATTGTCGGTTTGGTTAGTAATCAGTAAGCACGATATGAAATTTACACAAAGACAATGCAACAATGCACAAATATTTACAGTGGCTGCTTTGAGGTAACCCACATACTGAACCTCTTTTCTGTGGCTATAATGTCAACCGTCTCTGGTATTTGGGGGGGTTATGAAAAGGCACAGATACTCAGGGTATTGACTGAGCTTATTAATGCCCAGTGAAAACGATACAAAGAGGTTAGTGGACACAGAGTGAGGAGAGAGAAAGGCCTCCAGTGACATCTTTCATCTCCAGTCCATTGTGAACTACACTGAGCCTCAGCGGTGAACAAACTGAATGACGCCCACTGGAAAAGGGATATCTGGGCTGGAGCAGCGATGAATGTGGTGACTCAGAGGGCCGCTGATTCCCATGAAGCTTTGCGGACTGATCAACTAACTGTTACACGCAAATCCTCCAGGGAAGGCAAATCCAATCACAGCAGTGCATGGAAAAGCACCTCACCGCTGTGCCCTTCAGGATATTGTAAGAGCACAGCAGTCAAGTCAGTGGATATTCAAAATGCCCCATTTACTGCCCCAGTCTGCTGCTCCTGTCAAGTCAGGTTAGCCAGTAAACTCACATGACATTAAAACCCAGCAGCAACAAAGCAAACTCTGCTTTACCAACAAAATAAAAACAATGAAGCACTGAGCTCAACCATCTAATGGCACATGTGCGTACAATTTGAAAGGTTTTGAGTCATTCGCCCAATTAAGCAACCCCTACCCGCTTCAAGTCACAGCTTGGAGGTTGGAAAAGGAGGGGAAGCACTGCATTTACTTTACACAGCAAAACAAAGCTCTCCTTTCAGTTGCAGTGCCCCAGTAGCTTCCAATATCACCATCTACATCCCAGAGGAGAAGGATTACCTACCACAAAAACTTCACCAGAATCGCTCAGAAACGGCTCTATTAAGTATTATTTTTTAGGCTTCTTCTTTTTAAATTACTTTTCTCTAGCACTTACAGTTTGAGGTGTTACAAATACAGTTACAGATGTAACAGTTACAGATGGAGCATCTAGAAGGAAAAAACACACACACACCCTAACCAGAAGAGAATGGAATATATGAATATGTGTAGGAGACAAGCCAGTGGAAACCAGTGAGTGAGTGATATCTGATCTCAAACTAAGTTCTCCAACGGTAACTCACAATAAACTGAGGCCATTCACAGCGGTAAAGAAAACATGACACATATGCTAAAAATACACCAGGCAAGGACCCAGAGTTCCACAAAGAGCAACTTTAGTCAGAGGAAAGTCCAGCAGTTCATATTAACCATTTATACCCCAGCCTCATATTAATACCGGACTTCAAGATTTTAGTAACAGAAGCTCTATTTCCTAAACCCACTGTAACAGCACAGGTTATGCAAATCACTCCTAGAGGAAGATGCACCGCAGTGGTAGCTATGAAACATTAACAAGCAATCCGAGCTCTATGGCAACACAGATTATTAAGCAGTGAGAGCCAAAACATGGTAACAAGTGCACATGATCTCATGGTCAGAATTAAATGAGGCGATCAGACCGCAATGTGGTGCACAAAGTACCTGAAATCAACTCATTCCACTCCCTTTCAAGCTTCAGTCCCCTATTGCCTCCTTGCTACCTAGTTATTTCTACCCAATCACTGAAGACCAACATATCTACCTGAATCTAAAGATGTTTTATGCTGACACTGAAGTGCATCCATACCAAAATACTAGTTTAGCAAGGGTTAAGAATGAAGTAAAAAAAAAACATTGTGATGTCAGAGAATACAGTTTTATCACTGTGTTAATTCACTCATGGTACTCAATGGACCAAGAAACCACTGTTTCAACTGTTGGGAGTGAAAAGGTCTCTACAAGCAAATGTAGAAGGCATTAAATCTGGAAGTGAAAATAAATGACCAGTCTGGATTAAGGCTCACAAGTGGAATCTTTGCACAGAGCCAGGCTGCCTGTTCCTTCCAGTTTCCAGTCTTTATGTTAAAGCAGTCTCCTAGATCTTCTTTATTAACTCCATCTGCACAAGATGTTGTATGGTTACACTGGGTGTGTGTGTGTTTTAAGGAACAGGCTGGAGGTAATCTTTAGAAAAAGATAGATTAAATTATCTTTTTCTAATCAGGTTAGGCACTCATTGCAAGAAAGGTTACTGTAACAGCAATTTGCTTTCACTATTGTTTTTCTTCCTAGAGTGCCATTTCCAAATCTAACATGAAATTGAGACCCTTTAAATTTAGAGGCCTGACTGACTTGGTTATTCCAGTTTCCAAAGTCTATGCGTACATAACCCCTCCCAGCTCTGTATAACCACGAGATTTGATTAACGTTCCTTTGGATGTTTCAGTGGCAAGTTTAAGAAGTTTCTTAAACTACTGGGCATCACCTCAGTAGTTAAACTGTGAATAGGCTACGGTGCATTCTTCGGTGATGACCATTCAATATTTAACCTCTGCATAATTTGCATGGCTTTACAAGAGTCTGGTACAAAGGGAGTCACCATGGCAATATACCAATAAATGACTGCAGCACAGACGGAGAGAGAGAGAACAGGCCAGCTCGTTCTGTCAACATTTAACACAAGTAACTAAAGAATGAGACTTCAAGGACTTGTAACCACTTTGGGATTGGTGAATCACGCCTGGAGGGTGTTCCTCATATGATTGAGTAATCAATTATTTAAAAGGAACAAATAGCAACAATGGGACTGGACATGAGAAGAAAACACCCATCCACGGTGATGCCAGCCACGCCTTGTGTTGATTTTGTCACAGGGCTGTGATCCTGAGGAAATTCTGGGAGCACTGAGGTTTACTTTGGATAATGTGCAATTCAGAGGGGTGAACAGGAGACCTCGCTGCTCGCGCAAATCTGCAATGAAGTCCTGCCCCACAGTGATAAAACACATGGCAGGAATGATTGGTATCACACCCATCATCGGAACTCTAACAGTTGCAGAGTGCCTGTAGGTTTCTCTCTCAGTTTGATTCACATTTAAGGCAAGTCTGCATTTTTGATCCTTTGCTGCTTGACTGTGACTTCACATTTACATTTCCTGACTGTTTCACAGCAGATGGATGGTTGGATGATTTTGGTGAGTTTTTGTGAATTATTACACATAAGAGCTGAATCTATGGATCTATGTCTATGGTTTTGGCACAGATTTTTTTTACACCCATTTATCATGGGGTTGGGACCATTAGTAGGAGCTTATGACACCCCTGAGGCTTGGTTTGTGTCCCTTTCTGGTTTCTCAGGATCATTAGCTAAAATGAAATATACCTTCACATTTGTTCATTAGGGCTTTCCTAAATGTTTTTAGACTTAATTTTGTGTCTTTGAAATAAAGAAATCTGTTAAATTGACACAAAAGGTGCATTTTTATGAAGAAGAGACAAAAACTACCAGCTTTAACTGTCATTTCTCAAACAAAAATGTGTGTCTAGGGGAAGAAAAAGGGATTTTTGAAACTGCACAGACTGATGATTAAGTAAGAAAATCTTCAACTGACTAATAGATGATGAAATTAAACAGGCTGAATGTAACATAAGGCTCATCTGACTCTCGCTGTGGGTTTTCTTTCCCAGCTTTCCCCACCCACAGCATTGAAAGAAGAGATTTACTAAAAAAAAACAGTGTCCTACTGACATTTACTCATGCCATGTCTGAAAGACTGGGCGAATCATGAGGCCACACACTGAATTAGTCTTTAGGATAAACTTTTTAGAAAGAAAAAAAAGGCCTTGTGACTTCTTGGTATCGTGGAAAAAAATACTCTGACATGATTTTCTAAAAAGGCTGTTTTGTGTCAACTGGACTCCGTGTGCTGCTGCTGCTAACAAGACAGCAATGATGTCATTTCCACAGTGACGCTCATGACAACCCTGAGGCATTTCTAAACAAACCGACAAATGTTTAGTGATGCTCATCTGGGCTCCAGTCATTGTCATCCCTATATGAATCTGTTTAACAGCAACCTGTCACCATAATAACACAAAATGCACAACTGCACCTATTTCTGATACTGTTTGCCTTTTTCCCATTGAGATACTTTCAAACTGTGAGTTTGACTTGCATGAGTTACTCATGCAAACAACTTGGCTTAATTTATCTTTCTGACACTTTCTATACGGAGAAAAATATTGACATAGGCTTTAATCTAACACATTTCCATAACAAAGAGGTATAAATACAGGACGAGCCATGTGCCACTGTACAGTATGTAAGAGCTCGGGTGGGGCAAAGTGAGTCAGGAGTAATTGAAGGCTAAAAACCTGTTCACATATACATGGTAACTACATAAAATACAGTTTATATAGACAGCAAGTCACTTTTTTTTGCCAGTTTTCCACCCAACATCTGCATTCAAAGACTTTCCACCCTTATCCAGTAAAAGCATATAGCTATTAAAGATATAGATCTACCCACTTAAACAGCAACCACATTTAAAATTAAACACTGTTCGCACTTATCTTTCAAGTAAAAATAAATGGAGAACAATAATAAATATGTAAGACATTGAATTTTTTCAGTGGCATTCTCCTTTAACATGACTACCGTATTTTTACATGAGCTAATAATCTCATAAAGCTCTACTGTCATAATAATAGTGTCGCTATAACCACATTTTTATGAGATTCGCATAATACAAAAATAATAAAACCATTTCTTTATATATTTTTCCGAATAGGATTAGACAGATTTGAGAGCGTGGTAATCGTTACCTGCTGTGATTCAGTTAATACAATCTACCTGTCACAGAACTACAGAGTGAAATTATACAGAAAAATCAAAGGGGCTGCTTACCGCTTTGGGCATTTTTCTGTCCTTTTCCCGGCTTCGAGCGAGGAACTGTCAAATAAAAAAAGGAGAGACCTGTACTCCGAGCGACTGCGGCTTTCACTGCGCCTTCCTGAAAAGAGAGAAAGAAGAGAAACGAGTTTCGGCCACTTCTGCGCTACTTAAACCCGACTGAGGATAGCGCGACACTCCTGCGGACTACAGTCATCAGGATGAATCACCCTGGAAACCAACAAGCCAACGGCAGCCGGATACAATAACATAGGAAGTGGGCTTTTCAGCCTTCAAATTAAGAGCAGTTGGTCTTACTGGTCATTGTTTTCTAGTAATCCCCTGAGACACTGGTTAAAAAAAACATTAATCCGTCGATTATTTTTCATATTTATTGCAATTATTATAATTATTATTACCCCTCTTAGTACTATAATAATACGAATTATCAATATCCTTCCACAAAACAAAATAGAGAAATCTTCAGTCTATGAGGAACTTCTAAACCTAAATATTTTCATTTGGAATAACAAAAATAAAAACCCATGTTTGCATATTCAAATGGATGTATTTATTTAATTCACAGTGATCCATTGATGGGCACTACCATACTTCTTATCAGTGGATCAATGACGCGCTGTCACGTACGTGGGGTTAGGATAAGTGGTGACTCTAAACTGGTAGTGTGAATGTGTATCTAACACATATGGTTATCCATCTGTGTTAGCCAGCAACAGACTGATACACATTGACCTATACACCTATACACATTAACAAGGTAAAATGGTGATGTTGGTTGTTTGGCTTTTTTAAATTCTCTTACAGCCATTTTTTGTCTTTTATCAACGAATACCAAAAATGTCGCGCTTGAAAGGCTTTATTTTGAAATGTAACACCGGATATCCTGAAATCTTGCTTTACCTTAACACTGAGTCACACGGCTCATGCAGCTTAGCTTTAGTACAGAAACACACCTCAACCACTACCTTTAATAAACGTAATGGTCCCCACCCGTCTGTGGTTTTGGTCTTTTATTTTGAAGACGTCATTATCTCAAAAATCCACACCCCACTTCATATTAACGGAAGCCTTTCATGCTCAATATTTGCCTGCATCGCGTCACAAAGTCGATTAAAAAGAAAGAAGTAGACAACAGAAACAATGCTGTTTTACAGTGCATTTAGCGCAAGCAGTGCTCAGCTACAGTGTGACAAAACGGGACAAAGTGACGGCAGACAGGGAATATTTCACCGGGACTGTAATGTCTGCTCTGGGTACACACCCACACCGACGGGGAAACGACTCAAGCCCACTTTATGACACGTTCCACTTTTTCCACTAAAAAGATTTCCTAATAAAAATACACGGTAAAAGATTTAGAAAGCGGGCTCCTAAACCCACGCTGTCTTAATGCTCCCCTTTGTGCAGAAGCTTCATCTGCGCCGCCCTCAGCCACATTCCCATTATAATCCCAAAGACACCTGTTGTGAGATTTGCCTGCTTTGTATAGTGCAACACAAAAAAAAGAGCGCAAAAATAAATAAATAAAACCAAACAAAGTCTTATTTTGCAGCTCTTCCATCTTGCTTTGCTGCCGGGGTCGGTCAGCAGGACGGAGGTGTTGAAATAAGAATAAAGTCTTACCAGAGATGAGACGGTGGTTTGCACGGCGGGTCCGCACACTCCCTCTCCCGCTGCTGCTCCAGTCAGGCGCAATATGGCGCTCATACATCCCTGTGTGCCGCCCTTGCAGGCTGCAGGGCAGCAGGGTCACCACTCGGGGCCCCTGGGACCCTTAAGGGAACTCTGAGGGACTTCCCAACAAAACCATTAATAGTTTCATTGATGTTTGATGAGCATTTTGGGTGTTTTCCCTGCTATAGTGGGGGATCTTGGTGGTTTGTCACAGGGCCCTCAGCTGCAACGTTAAGTGTGATAATAACAATAAATAAATATAAGTATGGTGTGCAATGGCTCTTATTTAAAGTTAGTGTGATGAAATTATGCTATTTAATCTTTTTGTTATTTAATTATTATTTAATTTGAAGGTTTATTTTTAAACTGTGCTTCTCTTTTATGACCTTAAAATAACAGCACCCAGTTAGACATGTTAAGGTATTTCTACTTTTAAGATAGTCAGTTATTTCCTATGTAGCCCAAATTTTCAGTGCATTATACGAAAATCGTGTAATAACATTCAATAACCACAACAAGCAACATAAACTTTTATTTTTCCGGTAAGTTGTCGTGTTAAGAGCGCTGTCACTTTGGCAACTGTCTTTTAATATTGTTTTTTTAATACTTCCTCAATTTAGAGCGCAAAGACTCAGGTGTCACCTGTCCTGAGCGCGGAGTTGCATCACTGCTGAAACTTTAACACGAGAAATAGCGCGTGTCATCCGCCCTGCGCGTGCTGTACCGAGAGCTGGCGTCAGAGGTGAACCGGCCAATGAGAGGACGGGATTAAAATAGACCGTATATATCGGAGGTAGACCTACTTCTCACCATAATACGAAACCAAAGAGCGAGGTGACAGTCCCGCCTGCCCCTGCTTCTGCTGTTACCTCGCTTTCAACAACTACAGCTTCACCAGCACCATCATCGTCATCACAACCGCTTTCTAAGCAAAGTCTACTGAAAATAGGTGTGTCTCTAACACCTGGAGGTTAGCCTGAAACCCATGAAACAAAGCTGGTACCAACATATTAATCCTCGCTGGTTTTTAAAGCAGGAGAAATTATCAGCTGCTTTAAATACATTTTCTGGGTGCTGGGATAATGGAGCCGAACAGTCACAGTAATGCAAAGCATTCTTGAATTTGCCTGTTAGAGCACCTGAATAAACTGTTTGCAGTCGGATGCCAGATGCAAATGGATAAATACACAGGAAGGCACTTTGAATGCTCCTCTTGAATATCTGGAGTTCCTTAAAACCTGTTTCACTGCCTGCTCTGCCGATCATAATCTTTTTAAGATTGCTCTTTGAACATTAGATTTTGGCTGATTTTCTTTCATTGGTATGTTGACAGCTCAGAAGCACACAGGAACTTAATTCAGATAAGCAGTAAATGAACAATTGTACTGCAGAACTGAACGAAAAAGCTTGCCTTCAAGGGGGGAAAATGAGGAAACCTGAACTTCAGCTTTTTAATAATTCTATTATCTTGAGGTTGTAACATGTTGTTTCTATTTATAGGTCTATAATTGACGACTATTGCATCGAATTCATAAGTGCAAAAAAGACCCACAGAACTACTAATCATTGGAGCCCAACTGTCAGTCTGCCCCAGGGCAGCTGTGGCTAACTGTAGCTTGCCTTCACCAGTGTATGAATGTGAGAGTGAATGAATAGTGGTATTGTAAAGCGCTTTGAGGGGTCCCGAAAAGCGCTATATAAATGCAATCCATTATTATTATTATTATTATCATTATTATTATTATTATTATTAACTGATATATCAAACAGGCCGATGTCATCATCTTTGCTTTTTTGTGCTGCTCCCTTTAGAGGTCTCCCCAGAGGCTCATCTGCCTTTATCTCATCCTATTCCTCATATCCTGTCACACCAACCCTCTGCATGTCCTCCTTCACTACATCCATGAATCTTCTCTGAGGTCTTTCTCTGTTCCTCCTCCACTACTATATGGCCAAAACATCTCAGCCTCACTTTTCTACTTTGACTCCAAACCACTCAACATGAGTTGTCTCTTTGATATGCTGATTTCTAATCTTGCCCATTCATGCAACTCCAGATGTAAATCTTAACATCTTCAATTCCAGCTCTGCCACCTTCACCTTGGCCTCCTGTCTAATATCATTTGATATTAGCTATTTACCGATCTATCATATCAGTCATTTATGAACAGCCAATGAAAGACACTTAACTTAAAAAGTTAAGAAGAGCCACCCTTCAACCAAAGTATGAATGTTGACATGGCATAGTTTGTCCACCTGAGGGCAGTTATTACCTTCCCTGTTGGTAGCCTGGGTTTGGAGCCGTAAACAAAAACCAGTTCATGAAGAAAAACTTTTATTTGTGGTAAATACTTGTGTATAAATCTCTCTATGAATCAGACTTTTCTGGCTGTGTCTCTTCCTCGTTGAAGCGCTCAAGTCTCTTCTGGGTTACATCGTAGATCATAGCTGAAACAGACAAAAACATGGAAATGTTTCAGTCACACAGGTGCAACCCCACCCCGTCCTGTTTGACTTCAGTGACAGCTGTAATGTTTATCAGGCACCACTAGATGGTAGTCACACAATGCACGCTGGGGAAAAGTTTACAAGAAGTAAATGCAGACCTCTACCCTCCTGAACCAAGTTTTTTAGAATTTTTTTTTTAAAACTGCTATTTCCTCTCAATTATTTGCCCAATTATTATAAATGACTAATTTCATCAGTCATTTATAAACTGCACACATGGTCACCAGTCAAATCTAATGTTTAAAGGCTTTAAAACTTGCTGACCTGGGTCTAAAATAAAGTTTTTAAAAAGCCTTTTTTTCACCTGCAAGGTGTACTTCCTCCACCCTCAGTGCTGTTACAGAATCCTCAAATAGATTTCAATTTGAGTGGCACGTCCCATTCTTTTCATTTCTCTGCTTTCTATTTGAGTTGGTTTGAACTTATAAAGCACTTTGAAGTGATAAAAAAAAAAACTAATGCTAAATAAAAGCATAATTACAGAAAATCTACAGCAGTGATGAGTGGACTACAGAAAATGATAAGCTGGGAAAAAAAATACTTAAACATAGCTATGCAGAAGTTTTTGTTAAATATAGCAAATTTAGGTTTGCATACATCAACCCAAAAAATCTCAAAAAAAGGGATGTCATCAAAAAATTAAATAAAATAACTAATGTCTCTTACTGTCAAGAATCTCTCTTGCTGTGTATCTCCTTTCCACCCTGTTGTTCACCTCGTCCATCAGCCATGGGAAGAAATTAGTCTCGATATCTGTAAATCAAAACCACAGATATGATTCATCCGCATCTATTAATAAACACAGATGTAAGGAAATTACGCTTTAGCAACAGAGGG